GAACTGAAGAAATTGTTGGCTTGATTGTTTAGCATATTTATAAATTTACTACGCAACACAAACACAAAAATATTATAGTCGGGCTAAAACGGAAATATCTCCAGCTTGAAAATTGTCTTTCAAATATTTTTGAATTTCTATCTTCAAGCTGGCAGCGGTAAGAATTTCAACTCCAGCTCAAAATTTGGCGTTGGCTTAATTTGAATTCGATCTCCGAGCTGGTTCGAAATTCAACTCTAGCTCGAAATTAGGCCTTTGCAAATATTGAATTTCGGTCTTCGGGCTATTGCGCCTCGAGATTCAACTCTTGCAAGAACTTCAGGTTTGGTTTACTTTTGGCTGTAAACTGAATTTAGATCTTTGATCTTCGATGTCAGTGCTAACATCTCGATACTAAGTAAATACGAAGCATCAAATTGAACAAAATTGAGTGATCTGTTTCAACGAAACTAAAATCAACGAATAAACAATCAACACGACTGCCCTTTTTTATTTTTGTTTCATGGCTTACAATAAAAAGATGCAGGTTGATGAGAACTAAATCTGAACTTTATGCAGCTCATGATAAATCTGATTCAATAAAAATATATACTTATTAATGTCCTAATTAAGCGTTTGTCTTAAAATCTCATTTTTCTATTGTAAAAGGCTCCGTAAATTATTCACAAAAACTTCATTGAAGTTGTATTTCCAGCGAAAGTTTCTAGTACTAGTACATGTGTTTGGTTTCATAGATATTCTTATCTTAAATAAATAGTTTACATAAATGATATGAATAATTTTTATCTAAGTTTTTTAAAAATTTAACATAAACTTAAAAAAACATTTGCTGAATCAATCATATAATCCTCAACACTAAATCAGTCATTACAAAAACACGTATATGCCCCGTTTATATCACCGTGGCACCTGCCATTTAATAAGTAAACATCAAATATGCAACAAAATTTGACCAAAATTGTTCCCTCTAATACTATCTTTATTCTCACGTAGACATTCAAATTGCTTCCTTCATCATCAACATTACTAAAAAGGTAAAGGAGATCATTTTAAGGAATAAAACCTAAAACAGCTTCGGTTCACCTGCCAAAATAGATAAACCTCTGTAAAATAAAGCTTGATTTTCTCGATTTTCAAAAATTTGTTAAATGCCATTTTTTAAAACTATTCTTTAACAAAAACACTGAATTCTTATTTTAAATGTATGTAAATACATAATGATATTATAACAATGCTGGACTTTTGAAAAGTTGATCTACAAAACAACACAATTCTCATATTCCTAATAATATGTTGAACTTTGTCTGTCCTATAAATAACATTGCTTATGAAAACACTTACACTCCACTGTTGTGTTTGGCATTTGGTAAATATTTCTTTCATGATCAAAATGAATATGCAAGCTGAAACAATTAATGTAGTATGCTAGTTCTCTTAGAATATCTTAAGTGTTTCACATCAGCAAAAAATTTCAAATGAACTGAGAAAACACTTTAAATAGTGTTTATTTAATTCATCAGGTGATATTTCATGATAGTATGTTTCCTATTTGTAGATCCAGGTGAGTGATAATTAAGTATGTCTTGGCTTCCCCGTTATTCTATTATCGAATCAAAGTGAAATGTATTCATTGGCTATCTCGGGTCAGCTGATACGTCACTAGGTGGTATTTCAATTATTCTGGTTTGTTACCAATCGGCTTGCGTTCCCGGTGATTACTAGTTAGTATTGTGAATGAGAACACGTTGATGTAACCGGTTGTCTGTTGCCAACAATAAAATACATTTATTTGTGATCATCGTATCTATAACATACACTTTGTCGTACCGAAGTACTGCATAATGACCTTTTTGCCTTTCTCGTACCATTTTTTCACGAAGGATTTATCTGTGACGTTTAATTCTGTCACTACATTCTTGTTGAACTAATATTGATTAGCCACGTGTACTTTAAACATTCTTTATCGTTATAACATGCAAAGCATGTATTAATAGTACACGCGTTTGTGTTTTGTGCCGATGTGCCTTTAAATATCAAAGATCTCAGCTTGTTCCATTAATTGAAGCCCAATTTGTCAAAAAACTCTTGTTACTTCCCATTTCTGGTTTATTTGACCTGATACACCACTAAATCGTAAATTGTTTCTTTTAAATTGATTTTAAGTTGGTCAATTTTTTCTCAAACGTTTGAAAGTTGAAAAATATCACAATATTTCATCAATCTTAACAAGGCACCAGGTGGATGAGAGCGTTTGTAAAAAGCAAAAAGGAGGCCCTGAAGGGATTCATACCTAACAATGCTTTCCCACCGCCATCTTTGATGTACGAATGTATATACCAATGCACGGAAGATGTGTGCCATACGAAGATATAGACAATGCCACTATGGAATAAAAAAACTATTTACAAAATATTTGTTTTTGGTTTTGCGTGTGTGGGTTTGGTGACTAGGGGACAGGGCTGGTGGAGGGGGGACAGGGTTGGCTGAGGGCTGTATTCTTTCATTAATCACTGCACTCCTTGTGGAATTTTTCTCTCATATTTTGTACTTTGTGTACCTTTGTAAAATGATGTTTATGATTCATATAAGTATAAAAATTATGTTCCAATATAAAAACTTCCGGGAAAATTACTAACGGGTAGGTTTTAGATAATTATTTTCTCAGTTTGTATATCAAATCAAACTAATTATTAATATTACTTTGAGAACAACAAAGCGACGTGAATAATGCCTTACAATTAGGTGGTTATATTTCACATAATGCTTTTAATCAGATTTATCAGATATTATCTGTTTGAAAATTTATAGCATCGTTTCTTCTTGGAATTTAATCAATGTCGGATAAAGCTTTCAAGAACGGAAATCCGTTAGGACCATCGCGAAATACACATAACTCAAAGCAATTAAAGCGCAGACATAACGATGGTGAAAAGTCGAACTATGAAACCATGATGATGAAAATGTAAATGTTCGAGGATGATATCAACTGATTTATATTGTAGTTACTGTAATGGTATAGTCTCAACAAAAATAGATAACACTGATAACATAGCGGCAAATGTTGTTTCATATACTGCATATAAAATGATTATATCACACGCAATTTTAATGTGCGAATATTTTCCATTCTCTTTACTTTCCAGCTGAATAAACATAACACAAAAACTTTCTTTTAACAAGTTCTAACAAGAGACATTAATGGTCGTTATAATTTTAATGAATTTTAACCATGTGCAAATAGAAAGTTTATAAAGTTCTGGCGTAGTAATTTTCTATAAAATTGATATATATGAAATTGTTAATCAATTAAAAATATAAAGGTAACGATTCACTTGTTTGTTTCTTCTTTTTCTGTCTTGATCTATAATAAATATTACAAACATGCACATTTTCAAAATGTTTTTAATACATTCATCGTGTTGACAGTAAACCATTTATTCAAATTGGTTATTTCGATGCTAAAAAAACAAACAATAACAACACACAAACAAACAAACAAAAAGAAACATAAAAAGTAAGAAAGAAAGAAAGAATAAAAAAAACCTGAAATGTTTTTACTTAACGTACAAAAAATAAATTCCTTTTTTGGGAAAGATGATTCACTTACTATAATTTTGGATGGTAGAGATCATCTACTTGCTCTGAAATCAGACATATACTAGTAGTTGAAATTATAGAAGAGGCTTTAACAACTCTTGTACTTGGGAGAAAACATCATTCATTCATTCACGCCTCTTGCAACGACTCAAGCAGTGTTCAACTCTCAACACTTTTGGCATTGAAATAAATCAACGTGAAGAACCAGACAAAACTTACATCGCTCGGATGAAGAATGGATCGTCCTTTTACATTTTACAGCTAACAAACTCCATCTGGTGTTGAAAGTATAAAACTTTTTGATATTAAGAAGTACACTGAAAATGAACTGCTAATTCTTCCTGTGGAAAAAGGTTGATAATACTACTGCTAACTGCGAAATGGATTAAACAGTGGGAATGTTTTTGTTAACCTTAAATAGGTATGATAATTAATAAACAAAGATTAGTTATAAATCTTGACCACTCCCTAGGTACACAAAACTAAAATACTATTTGTTGACGCTGCTTTGATGGTCTGAGAGCAATTTAAAAATAATATGCATGTACAAATTGAGAACAGCAGCTTGATTGTATGTACTCTTGAAGTAAGAGATCAAAGAGTATGCAATTTTAACATTTAATGTAACTTATGCTTTATTCACATGTTTTTATTGATTTTAGTTTTGTTTCATCATCAGATTAAGCTGACATAAATGATACTATTTGCTACCTCTTACAATAAAAATTGATTTTTATACATATGGTTGTCAGTGTTGCTTTTGTAACGTTTTAAATTTGAAATTCGTTAAAATTTAAATTTCTTTAATACATCATTCTTTCTTTATTAATACATTTTGGGAAATTTCATAAAATCAACAACCTGATTCTTTGTCTTACTCTGAGCGTTTTGACTTTATCGCTCTCAAGTGAGATTTTTTTCTGAATATTATAATACGAAATCGTACAAAAAATAAAATGTGATGTCAGGGAAGTTAAATCAATTTATATTTCCCGTAATTTGTCAGCTGATTGGAAAAAGCAATCTTCAAATGATATATTGCTACATTTTATAACTATTTTAAGATACTACTTTAAATAATAAACTTTTACGTGTTTGTGTTAGTTTATAGCATTGCAATAAACTGTCATATGTTTAGATATATAGATCATATTCTTGCTAACTCATCTTACTCAAGAAGTACATACAAGAAGTACCATATTTTTTATTCTTCATATATTTATTACAAAATTCGGTACCAAAAATGTAAAATATATACGGTGTCATAGAAATTATAATCTTGAATCATAGATTCAATAGTTTTTGAACATAACATTTTCTGTAAATATCTCTTACTTTTTATATTTATCTACACGAGAGTTCTTGACTTCAAAAATTTTAAAAATTACTTATCACAAATCTTATTGAATTCAGGCAAACGGCACACACAATTGGCCAGAAAATATTGATCATAAATTATTGGGATCTTCTACAACATTAATGATATCAACTCGATTTTGTCTCCAATGAAAGAAAATTCGGAAAACCTCTCTTCTAAACTTTGTTCCGCTGAGACAATACAACAAAAAGTTCATAGAGTTATTCACATACATTAACATATTCACAATAGCCCACCATAAATCCAGTTTTGCATTACCATGCTCGTTTGCAACATTTGCCCAGTGCGTGTAGCCTATGTTGTAAATACTGATTGGTAATGTACTGAGCAAAAATACTGTGTTCAAGGCAAATAACATCGAAGTAGTAGATGATATTTTAGAACATTGACCTGCTAATGGTATTTGTCCACTTTCATGATTAACAGTAGACGTCTGAACATGTCTTGGCCGTAGTTTTCTTTGACTGTTTATCAGTTTAAATAGAATCAGTCCATTTCCGACGACAATGACTGTAAGTGGAAAAGCACAAAATGCACACAAATCTATCCAAGGCCATGTCACATTGAAAAATTCATAATATGTTTCATCAATTTCTACACATGTTTGAATGTTTGCATGTCCATGTGTTTCATTTTTGTCGGCTCTGAAAACCAACCCATACAGAAAATGACTATTTAGCGCAAGAACTATAGCTCCAAAAGCAATTATAAATCCAACCGCCCTTTTTCTTTTCACCTCATGTTGAGTATTGTGAGGACGCCATACTGTAATCATTCGTTCTAATGTAACCCCGACAAGAATCCATGCTGAAAAATCCAACGAACTGTATACTATCCAAATATTTAGCTTGCAACTGAAAGCGCTTGCATGCCTTACATCGTAATCAAACTGGTAAATTAGCCACTGACGAAGAAGTCCCGAATACAAAACAACTAAATCTGTAAATGACAAAACTGTCAAGTATAAGGAAATTGTCGACGACCGAATAGACCTTCTCGTTAAAACAATTATAGATAAGCTGTTACCTACTGTTCCTAAAATGATTAAAATTGGTGATACAATTTTCCAAATGAAAACTCCAATTTTATATTCGTCAAATGTTGTATAAGAAAAGGATATATTCCTTTCTATATCAGATATGTTAGCCATAACAAGAGCTAGGTTTGTTAGTTAATGAGAATAACATTCTAGTATATAAGTATTCTTCAACGATTGGCTTGTTGAATATACTGCGATACCGTATTCAATAACACCGATAATATGCGATAAGTGATGTGTTTGATAAAGCGCCAACTTCTATTATTTTTATCTAGTATAAAAGGACGCATTGACATTCAGTTCAAAACTAAATGACATGATGTTGATGGTATGGATATATAACACATATCAAAATGCCAACATTCTATTAAACCTAAAATTAAAATGTAATTGGGTTTACAGGGAAATAATATCGGTTTGACATAACGTCTGCAATTTTACCACGATATCATGTTTTCAATAAATATGTTCAAGTTCTCGTTGATTTACAATTTTGATGTTGTTAAATACATATTGAGTTTAAAGCCAGGATATTTCAAAATGTACTTAAACGAATAGCTGGTTTCAACATTTTTATGAGAAAGTATGAAGTGACTTATTAAAGAACATGAATTGTCAAATCATAACTGTATCATTTCAACAATGTAAATATGACTGAGAAAGAAATCAGGAACCGACAACAATGTCAGCTGAATAGTTCCAACAATAAATTGATTGTCATCTGTTGCTATTAATTTGTTCTATGTTTAGAATGTTTTGAATAATGAACGTCTTTAACGATGCTGTTAAATTCCATATCATTCACGTGTTCAGCTTATATAAAATCCATAACTGTAAAACTTATTCGACATTGATTAAATTGCATGCAGAGAAGATGTTGTAAACATGACATGGAGATAGTATCTAATATACAGAATGCTGTTATATTAAACACCTCCATTCCTACGGTAGCATATAAACAATTACTTATGTGGCCTTATTCCTCATATAAACATTTAACGGATGTGACGCATACAAGGCCTTGGCTTATAGGACAAAGGTAAAGGTAACATTTAGGCTTGAATGGTATTGATTATTTCCAGACATTAACTCTGCCATTCATTGATGTATTTTGAAATAACTATGTATTAATGTTTTAAATATTGAGCTAAAGATTTATTGCTCAGAAGTCAAGGTAAAATAAATTTTGAAAGATAGTTAAAAAAATTTGGATTATTCTCCTGTCTACCAACCAGTCAAACCTTGATGTATTGAAAACTAATTTGCATACATAATTTACACGTTTATGGATTGTTTTTGAAATAAAGAGGACATGAAGTGAGCAAGAGCCAGTTTTCAGGCACACTTGAATGAATAAGGGTATGATATAATATCGCACTGATTGTCGTGAACAGCCATCACCTCTGTCATTTTGAAATTACTAGGTATAATTTTATGGAACATTAAACAGGCGCCAGGGCGACCGTCAGAAAAACATGTGACAAATAAATACATTAATGTCTTATGTTTGCCATTATTGTAAATTGAGCTTATTAGGGATATTAATAACAAATGTTTCATATACAAGACATGGTCTATCTTCTTTTGAAAATTGTACTTTTATTACAAAAATCAATCTATATAAATAAAATCATCATCAATTTATGCAGTGTAAAAGCCTCTTTACAAATTTAATACACTTCTGTTCAATTATACAAAATAACATCAGTGAGTATATTAAGAATATTTAAAAGTGTCACATCGTGATTTATTTCCACTTTACTATGGATAATATGAAGAGCAATAGATGTCAATGTATAGTTTATTTTATCTGTATTTCAAGTTTCTGTCTATTAAAGTTTGCTCATTTAGTTTGTTTTTTATTTTTTCCGAGCAAATTTTATGTGTTATTGAATCGAAATACTGTTATGTTCTTGCCTTGGCATCATATAAGTCGATGTATATCCGAAATTTATAGCTGATGCCTTATGATCAAAGACAAAATCAGCCCAGCGTTGATTACTGGCTGATAATAACTAGTTTTACTTTGATGCTAAGTCTAATTTTAAATTAACAAAAAGTTTATAAGATACTCAAGTAAACTAAAAAGCAGCTGCTGTATAACAATGAATCAATATAAGGAATCGATCTACTGATGTTAATGCGTATACACGTGTAATGATAACAGGTGATATTGTATATCACTGTATCTATGATATATCCATGGTATGAAACACACGCTCAGTGTCAATATAGATATTTCATACTTAGCAACAGAATCTATAATCTTCAGCTATATGACATCTTTTTTTAAACATAGCACAACATTATTATTTAGCGTCTACTAAGTCAGTTACTGTTTTGACAATATAAGATAATTGTTCATAAGCAAGATTTATTTTTAGCAGTATTATGGCATGTTTAACATTCAGGTTATCATGTAAATGGTTTTTAAATCCTAAACGTCCAAATATACGACATTTCATTAGTAAGCATTTTTTTTGGTGCTATTCATAGGCAAGTGATATTGAGCGGTCGAAGGATAAGGCAAGTTTGCTCTAGTGGCGTCATACATGTTATACATATAATTTTAGCGTTAATATAATTTTGTCGGTTAACAATCATATAATAGAATGTTCTGAAACAGCAAAAAGATAGATATAACGAGGAGAGTATTTTCTCTTTGCAAGAATTTGGACCATGAAGCGGAAGTATATTTATGAATTATGCATTTGATTTATGCATTTCAAACATAATATAAACATGTAACGTCCCGCAAAAGGTGAGTCCCTTAAGCCTGTTCAAATTATACTGAAAGTAAGTATTTTCCGCTTCTCAATATGCATTGTGCATTTCATGGATTTTACGGAACCCTTTTTAAAAAAAGGGATTACAAGTATATCTCCGTCGAATACATATACTCAGTCGTTTTGAATCACAGTTATATTTCAATGCAATTTTAATTATAATGCAGATTTGTATACACTTGGACTTGATAAACTGAATTTGAACCTTCAGTGATAGGAATCATGTGCAACCACTTGTTAAAAGACACGAAACGACCCTCAAAGCTAGATTTGGCGAATAATATCACCAAAAGAACGCTGTTTTGGTTTTATGTACAACAATCAAGCATTGCTGAAGAGAAATAGAAAGTTTACTTTTATAAACAGCCACAAAGATCCTTGAAAATTCAAAGTATATCTAACATGTCTACAAATATTTATTTTCTGTATTCTCATTTTCATTCTTCATGCCTGGCTAAAAGTATGGTACATTTATGGTTTACAGATCATATATTACTGTTAGGTCATAAGCCGACTGATAATTACTGAAAAACATAACCGAGGTTTGCTATCTCCGATGGTCATTTTGACCCATCCGAGAACATAATTTTCGCAGCTTCTCAATCATCATTATTCAAAGCTCTAATATTGATCAGGTAACTGTAAATGAAAGATAATTTCGATAAAATATTATCTGGTTTAATCAATCATTTACAATTCTTTATCTTTAAACATGTATCTTTATCATCGAAATTAACAGCACAAATTGGTCAAATATTCACTTGATAGATATATTTGTTTGTTGTTTTTTTCCATATAATTTTAGAACCCTGGTTACAAACAATCAAAATAATATTAAGAGCAGTTTTAATATCTAAGACCAAAAACATAAAACTCTGACAAAATCATCTACCAAGTCATTCGACCACATTCGATTATTACTTCTCTTACCTCTTTCATAATCTATTATTTTTCTGTTAATTATTCACAGCATGCTTATAAACTAAAGCAGTCTTGTGTCCTTGATTTATAACATATAAACACGAGCGCAAATTAATTATTATAGATAAGTTGGAGTAGAAAGAGACAATTTTTAACAATAATTACACATCTGTGTTAACATATATAATTTTAACTCTTTAAATTTGTAAATGTAAATGTAAAAAAGAATCATATTCGAAGTTGCTACTTTAAACCGGTTAAAAATTGGTAAATTTCAAAGATCAACAATTTTTGTTCTAGATGTAAATGTTTGTAAATTATTTATGCAAATATGAAATTTGTGTACATGAAACTGAAAGTGTTGAAGGCTGATAAATTTTATCTCATTTATAATTTTACTTTAATGCATGTAATGCCGACGCAACACAAACAGCAATAGTCGTAAAAGAATTTCAAAGATAAATCATTGCTGAGAAAAATAATGAAATTTGAACTAATGACATTAACAAACGTTTCGTATGTATTTGAAACATTTGAAAACTGGTCTTCTTTTATAGACACTTTCGTGTAATAATAAAGAAAGCCGTTTATCTAACACCTATCTTGTTGTTAACCTTCAGTTTTCCTCAACCACTCATCTTGCGGTGCTACTCTTTCTAAAATATGTGAAATTAAATTGCCATATTTATAAAAATGTACGATAATGAAATAAAATATTAACATAATTTTCGTCCAAGGCATTTGAAATTGATTTTTTTATTAGTACCATAAGTAAGTTACGACCCCGAAAAAAAAACAACAAAAAAACCCCACACAAAACAACAACAACAAACAACTACAAAACAACAACAAAAACATTAATTGCGACAATTTGTACAATTTTTTTAACTTATATTCACATCGGTTTCGCAAAAATCAAAGTATATATATAATTATTTCGATAATTGGTTGCATTGTACATTTGCACTGCCGAATGCATTCATCTCTGTCCCTCTCATGATAAACTATACTGTATAAAAACACACTAGCTTGAGGTAGTATATTATGTTCATATATTCCGCTTTGCTTGTTGAATTGAAAATCGATTGTCTGAAAATTAATCACAGTAATCACTTTTTTATTATGATTGCAAACTTCGAGCAAAATTGATAAGGTCATATCTGTAGTATTGTAGCATCTCTTGGCAACATAATTAAAACATTTAATAAATTGCAATCGCTACGAAACGTGAGCAAACATTAATATAACATCACCACGAAACTGCACTTGGGAATTCAGAGAAAGAGGTAATGTATCATAAATTTATATAGAATCGTCACAATGACAGAAAGCTTTAGGAATACTGGCCATAATAGTGGAAAGTTACAAATTTTGGAATACAAGTGTTTTCTTTTGGAACCAGTTATTTAATGTACTGGAATGATGGTTGGCATGTAATGAACTTTGTTTAATGATTTTAGTCAAGAACATTTCATATGTAATGAAGACATCTAAATTTGCACTACGGATAAAATTGTTGATTGTTTGATATTGAAAATGAATGTTTAAGTTGTTCTTAAGTAGCTAATTTCTTAACATTATTGTTAATCTATTCCTTCTTTGAACAAAAAGGATAGTTGCTAATGAATCTGGAATAACCTATAAAAAAGGAAGTTAAAAACTAATTTACACCATTTTGCAGAAACCAGTGAAAAAAGGATGGCGAATAATACTCTCGGAAATTTCACCGAATATCTATTAGAAGAAAAAGTTGGAATACTGATATGGAAAATATTTCCACCAGTGATGATAGTTCTAGGAACTGTTGGAAATAGTTTATCTATTATTGTGTTGACTCGAAAATCCATACGGTCTTCAACAACCGCTGTTTATTTGACGGTCTTGGCTTTCTCCGACCTAATTGTTTTGTATGCTGGGCTTTTGAGACAATGGATAATTTATCTGTTTGATGTAGATATAAGAAAACTGACCGAGTTTGGCTGTAAAATAAACATCTGGTTGGTTTACAGCTCTCTGCATTTTTCGGCTTGGATCCTCATCGTACTGACTATGGAGCGGGTGATTTCAGCCTGGTTACCACATAAAGCGCGAACGTTGTGTAAAAGAAAAAGCGCTATCGCTTTAGTAAATTGTCTTGGCGTTTTTATTCTTGGACTTAACAGTCACATGCTGTATGGAATGGTCTTTAAGTACTCATTTGACGACGATGGAAACTTACAATATGCGAAATGTGTTGAGATCGACGAAAATTATGATGTATTTTTTAACAAAACATGGCCGTGGATAGATTTTTGTGCATTTTGTTTCATTCCATTCTCAGTTATCCTTATTGGAAATGCTTTGATTTTAATTAAAGTGCTAGCAAGTAGAAGGAAAGTCATTTCACAAGTGGTTCCAATACGTAAAGATGGGAGAGATCATTTAGCCGGTCGCAAAACTAAACAGGCCTCAATGCCAGTTCTCCTTTTTACTTTAAACATCGTGTACTTATTGAGTACATCACCAGTTAGTATTTACAATATTGGATATACGTTCTGGATAAAGAATGCAAACCAACAAGAAACAGCAGTTCTTGATTTATGGTTGGCCGTAGTGAACATATTTATGTATGTCAACAACTCGCTGAATTTCTTTTTATATTGTTTAAGTGGCACAAAATTCAGACGTGAAGTTAGACGAATCATTTGTGTTTGGAGACAGGGGAAAGGAATTCGAAGCAAGCAAGGGGCTGTTAACTATGATAATACTCGAAGGACCCTTACTGCCAGGTCGCCTAAACATTCTATATTCACTACAAGGAATAGTCAAATACAACACCAAAGCAATATGCGTGAATCCAATTGATGACACCAATGAGAGATCAAACGTTTTACTAATTTATAATTAATTTGATATTTGGTGTAGATAAGGAAGTGTGTTTACATTTTCTACATCTTACTTATTTGTATGCTTACACTTTCACAATCCCCCAGCCAGAAAAAAAAAACAACAATAGCAAAACAAATCAAAATCAGATAATTATATCAAATGGAGGGAAAAGGAGTGATTTTTATTTTTATTTATTGTTTGTGTGTACACCTGTGACAATGCATTCAATTTAAGTGTCATCAATGAGACGCTAGGGAAATATCATTAATGTTCAGATAATTGATATTAATTAATCCAATAGTACCTATCAACCTTAAAATCATTTTCCTTTGTCTTTTCTGGTGTGTTTCCCTGGGGAAAATCATCATATCTATCTTGAACTCGACGTGGAAAGGACATAATATATAAAAGTAGAAAACTGTCAAAATTACAAACTTTGCGAATTGATGAATTGTCCGACAACATTGTAACATTGTTAAATATCAAGAAACGTTTTTATGTTTTTTTTTGTTTGTTTTTTCTTTTTGTTTTTTCTTTATGGCGGAAAATGATCACAACTCTAGATCGCAGTCACTGTAAATCAATGCCTAGTGTTCTTGAAAATGTGTGCTTTTGGACGTAGGAAACAATCCTGCTATTTCACGATGTATTTCAGCAATTTTTCATTTAAGGTGATTAAATTGTTATTTCCTTGAAACAGAAATAGATAATATCCTCTAAAATATAATTAAACGAAAGGAAATGAACTTGTTTCAATTAGTCGTAAGATGTTCTGATATTATATAAAAGATATATCAAAATGGCTGCAATCAGGCAAACTCTCGATTTGTAACTTAACATGTACTTGTACTAGTCTTGAATAAAATGTCTGTAATCACTATAAGACACGTTTAAATGCCTTTGAAGCCAAACGTCATACATTAGTAAAGAAGTCATTTAAGACGCAATAAAGAGTCTGTGAACTGTGTCGTGTTTGTAATGGATTTGCTGTTGTTTATGTGAAAATGTTTTCTGTAATAAAAACCATTACAATCATTGTTTATTAATGGTTTATACCAGGAACAGATTGATTCGGGAATATATATAATAAGATGAAAGCTTTTTTTATCTATTCGAACTATAGTAAAATCTGTATGAAGTAAAGAGAATTTTATATTGTTTAAAGTATTAAAATGAATGATGTAACATAGCCATTTTTTTCTTGCATCATAAATATTACTTTTTATTAAATACGTTCGAAACTCATTTAAACTCAATTCTATATTTATCACAATAATTTGATGTTAAAGTGTTTACGTCTGCTTAGTCCTTAACAAAAGGGTGTGAAATACTTATATATATCTATAAACGGTCCATATTAAATACTTTATTTTGTATAAAATTCGGTCAGATATTTTTTAATCGTGATTAAGAATGGCATTTGAATGTACTTCTTTTTGTTAGACTCGGTGAAGTGTTTTGGTGTGGCACACATACTTGATCAGTATGACTTTACCATGTGACGTTGACGTCATTTTTGTTAATATGGCAAGCGGAAATATACAGTATATAGCTAGATTCAAATCTTTGAATTCAAGTGAGTTATTTATTTTTTTCTAACAAATATGACTAAATAAAGCGGAGTCTAAAGGGAAACTTTTATATCATAAGTGTATCATAAATTATAAGTCACGTGATATGAACACATAATCAGCTGACCAGAACTAGTCACTACTGAGCATATATTGGAAGATATTGTAGTGGTTTGTTAAAGTTTATCAAAAGAAAACAATAACCTATATCTAGAGAAACAAGCAATCATCATAGTATTGCAAGCAATCCATAAGTCCCCTACCGGTAAGAGCCCAAGCAACATTCTATGGGTCATTGGCCATTCATTTAGGTTCCTATTTAAAGTAAATTTGTTGAAAAAGTTCTTTAAAAGTGATCACAGGAAATAGTTTTTATGTACAGATAGACTGAAAGACACTCTAAAGTTATTTTTTTAAACATCCCTGTTATCAAAATATAACATTTTTAAAATCCTAACATGATTGAAGAAGTTGGAGTAAAAATTACCAATTTCTCAAAAAAAAGTCTAAGTTCAAAAGGGGCATAATTCTGGAAATAGTCTTGCTAGAGTATTGAACACTCACAAATGTTGAGTGACAATAAGAAACATTTATATGAAGTTTGAAGTAGATACATTCAGAAAAAGAAGTTATTAAAAAAACAATGTTTTTTCCATGAAAATTTCAAGTTCAAGGGAGGTAATTCTGATAAATTTTGTGCTAGAGTTGCAACCCTTGTCACATATGATGTGGTTGATGACAAGTAACTTATATTTAAAGTTTGAAGAAAATACCTTAAGAAATAAAGAACTTATAGTGAAAAAACTTAAAAACTAGAATCAGAAATCTTGAAATTCAGTCTATTTGTTGCCATAGCAACCAGAATTTTCAACATAGGAAGATAAGAAAAGGATGTGAATAATTTCCATACTGCCATCTACCCATATGTCAAGTTTCATAAACATATTTCCAGTACTTTTTGTGTTATCACTGGATCCAGGTTATGTGTAAAAATTTGCCATATTTTCAGTCTATTTGTTGCCATAGCAACCAGAATTTTCAACATAGGAAGAAAAGAAAAAGACGTGCATAATCTCCATACTGCCATCTATCCATATATCAAGTTTCATTAAAATATTTTCAGTACTTTTTGCGTTATTGCGGGATCCAGTTTTGTGGACGGACGGACTGACGGACGGACGGACAGACAGACAGACGGACGGAGGGTAAACCTAAAGTCCCCTCCGGTAAACCGGTAGGGGACTAATAAGTATATGTCATATTATTCATTTACAGACAAATATACTGTCTTAAATGCGACTATTTTCCTTAAACACGAACAGTTTTTATTTTGAAATCAATATAATAGTTCGCTCGATATCAAGTAGCTTATATTCATGATTAAGGAAGGGAGGCAACATTGTTTAAGCTTTTTTTTTTGTCTAAAAGCATTTGTCTCACTTATTCTTCCATAGTAGTCACATTTCATTTGGGGATGGGGTGTACATGTTGTAAATATGAAATATTTAAAATGTTGAAGATCATCATAGGAAATACTGAATCTTTTCTAAACTATACTATTTATATATTAAAAAGACACAAAAAGTTTATCAACAATACACAGAAGTGCATTATGATGAATGAAATCATTTAATTATTTCATGTTTTCTCAAATCACTATTGTATTCTGTTTGAAACGATTGAATGTTTCAAAACGTATTATTACGAAAGGTGATTCATATTTATGTGAACACTTTTGAAATCAAATATTTCTGCACGTTTTTTCATGAGGTTCTCCATTCAAATTGTTTGAACATGTATTTAGCCGTGTTATCTAGGATACATGTTTTGTTGCACAATTAAAAATGAATAAACGTAGAATTAGTGATTTAGTTGCAGGCATCGTGTAAGGCCTTTTGAGGCAAAAAATGTCGTACAGAAAAATAGTAAAAGAACTAAAAGAAATAATAAGACATACTTTTTCATAGCGGTGATGAATCGTATTCAACATTCCAAAGATTTTATTCGAAATAACATTCGCAATAACGTAAAATTGGCCTTTTAAAAAACAACGTACTGCTGCTACAGATGACGTCATCCGAAAGATACGCAATATGATAAGATCGGTGAATCCACCAACCCAAAGACAGTTGGCAAACAAATTAGGGATATCTCAGTCAATAGTAAATCGTATCATGTCTTAAATAATACGTATGAAATTAAAAAAAGATGCAGAGTTCATAAGCTTAATGAGAAGCAATTCAGAAAAGACGTACTCGTTCTTCGTGTCTGTACCTCCGCTTAAATAGTAGAAAATGGAAATATTTTGACACTGTGGATAAGGCGATGTTCTATATGGGTGGAGGCTAAGGTCAGAGGCGTGTTTGCTATGTAAGAGAAAACGAGACAGACAGACAAAACCTTAAAATTGTTAAGCGGGATTTGTTTTCACCAGGGCTTATGGATTGGGCAGGAGTTAGTTTCTACGGCAAGACGTCCTTAAACAGTATAAATAAAGGTGTTAAAGTTTTCCACCAGGACAGTGCTTCAAGCCATAAAGCTGCCTAGACGGAAGAGTTTTTCAAAGAACGTAAAGTCAAGTACGTAACCCCAGAGGAATGGATGCCCAAGAGTCCTGATGCAGCACCCATGGACTTTGGAATATGGGGTATCCTAAAACGCCGATTACAAAAGCGAAAAATATACTCTTTGAGTGGACTTAAAAGGCGTCGAAGCAGAAGTGGCAGAAACTAGAGCAATCGATCATTAATAAGACACTTGCAAGCTGGCCAAGGCGATGTTGAATGATCTACTATGCCCATGGTTCACAAATTGAACATTTGTTGCAATGAAATCAAAATTATGGAATAATTAAATCAAATTAAAAAGTGTTCACATAAATATGAATCACCTCTCGTAAACTTTGAAAAATCTTTAAATCTATGTTACATAGAGCCTAGGAATGCAAATAGAGCTCTCGTTGATCAACAATAAAATATTTAAATGAATGCCTTTATTGATGCAACAATTATTATGTTTTAATACATTTAAAAAAAAGATCCGAAAAACTTAACGGTTAAAACACTAGAACAAATTACATTAGCAAATAAACATTTATTTTAATGTGTAAATAAAGTGTTTATCTGGTGTTTTTTTTTGTCTAAAAAAGCGTCGTGAAAACATGGTCTTTATTTGTTCTTGTATTGTACCTTTCTATTTAACGTGGACACTGGCTATTGTTTACAATTGCAACACTTACACAATTATTATCATCAGGTGTATGCAGAAATGCTTTTTTTAAGACCTATCATTCAGCAACATTGCGAATGTTACATAAAAAAAAATGAAAACGTCACGTACCCCCACTCTATACTTTATAAAAATACAATTATATTGATTATCCGTGAACATTTCATTAGAAATACCACAAAAAATGCAATTTGATGTGTATGGTGATGCATAAATAAACCTTTTTAAAAAGCTTTTACAAAAACAATGATGCAAAAATAACATCTTTTTCTTAAAAATACAACTACAGTTTAATTGTCAATAATGAATTAACTTTTGGTTAAATATCATTTAAAATGTGTGAAATATCAATTATCAAAAGATGCAAACGTTGATTTAAAGGAGATATAAAACATCAAGTATCTTGGCTTACACACAACTCTTTCATTCACATCAAAGAATCGTAAAACTGTCAGGAAAACAGATGAAATCCTCTCGATTTCGTCTATTATTATCTTTTACTAGCTTTTTATTGCGTTTTAATGGCTCATTTTCACGTTATAATGATGAAAGATATTTAAAATGTAATAAAGTGGGTGAAAATGAAGTGCCAACAATCTGCTTACGAAAGATTTCAACTTGCACTTATAATTTTAACGTGTATATAGACGTATAAATAAGAATTCACATTATCACCAACTAATAAGATAAGGGATAACAATATAACAGCAATATTACATGTATGTAATGACACTTACTTGTATTTTATAGAATTAAATATACAATTATTATCATTATCATTATTAATTCTGACAGTCTTTTTTATTACATAAACATTAAAAGTATTTCATTGATTTACTTCAAGCATTTAAAAAGTTGTTTCCGATCGTGTGTCTGAGT